CAGAGGGAGAGGGAGAAGCAGGCTCCTTGCTGAGCCAGGAGCCCGATGTGGGGCTCAATCCCAGGACCCTGGGATCATGACCTGAGCCGAAGGCAGACGCTTAATGATCTGAGCCACCCAGGTGCCCCTCAGTTGACTTTTATATACTAACCTTGTATCTCGCAACCTTGCTATGACCACTTAGCTTCTGGTATTTTTTTGTTGTTGATTCGTTGAGATTTTCTACATGGACAGTCATGTCATCTGCAACAAAGACTGTTTTATATCTTCCTTCTCAACCTGTTTATCTTTCCCCCCTTTTCTTGTCTTATTCCATTAGTTATGACTTCAAGTATGAGGTTGAATAGGCATGGCGAGAGAGTACATTTTTGTCATGTTCCCAATCAATTAGGAAAGTATCTGGTTTCTCAACATTAAGTATAATGTTGAGTAGGTTTTTTAATATTCTTTATAAAGTTAAGGAAGTTCCCCTCCATTCCTAGTTTTTGAGAGTTTTTACCATGAATAAGTGTCAGATTTTCTGCATCTATCAATATGCAGATAATTTTTCTTCTTTAGCCTGTTGATGTGATGGATTACATTAACTGATTTCAAATGTTGAACTAGCCTTGTGTAACTGGAATAAATCCCACTTGGTTGTGGTGTATCATTTTTTATTCATTGTTTGATTTGATTTGCTAATATTCTGTTGAGGAAGAATTGATTTTTGAGCAGCAGTAAAACATATTATTTTACAATAATCCACATGTGTTTGTGCAGAAAGAAAATTTTTTTACATTCTTTGAATAGTAGAATGATTAAATACTTAGGTTAATTGGGGCTGTATAGTCAAGAATATAAAGTAATAGGATTGGGTTAAAAAATGATATCTACATATTTTTTGTATTTGTCCCCTCTCTCCATCTGCAGCATCTCTCACCAATTGTGATACCCTCCCCTCAACTCTCTACCACTCCAAATTATAATACCTTTTAGGAAAGCTCAGAAGGATTTCTAATTTTTCATGGTAGATTAAACTAAAGATCAAATTAAAGAAGTATTTTTACCTGCTCACTCCTGAAACTAAACAAAAATAATAGTAAAGAATTAAAAAAATGCAAAGCCACAAAAAAAAAAAAAAGAGAGAGAGAGAGAAGGAAAGGGAAGGAAACAACAGATAAGTATTATCAATGAAATTCTGGAAAATGGAAAACAGATGATAGAGTGGAAATTTTCTTAGCAAGACAGGAGAAAGTTAAAAAAACCCACATCCAGACTTGTTGGCAATAGCATGCCAACAAGAAGCAATCCAATTCACCTAAAAGAACCCTGGGAAGGCCTGGACGTTAGAGGCACCAAATAAGACAGAAGGTGGGTGTGAGAATGGGATTAAAGTGTCTATGAAAAAAATCTCTCCCATACTCCATAAACTCCTCTACCAACCCACAGAAGGGATAAGAGGTTCACTGTATTTTTGGAGAAGTTTAACCCTACACTCTGGCCATGGACACTAAACATTGTAGTGGAAGGCAATGAAGAAATGTCCCTGAAACATTTTTGCATGAAAGTCTGCATAGTGAATGATACCATCCAAGGTCCCTTTTCCCACTATCATCTCCCAAGCGTGTACCACCAACCACCACTGCACCACATCACCACCCTTCACCTACCCCTATCCTCCTGGAGAAAATGTGCAGAGACATTTGCATTTGGTGGTATTCCTATAAAACAACTGTGTCTGACAATTACCCTCCAGCGAAGCCCACCAGACAACAGCCCTATTCATACACATTAAGCTTCTAATTATTATTTTTTAATATCTATTTCTGTAGGTAAAAGGACAGCCCATGATCACTAAACAATTGAGGAACACCTTTAATGTTGTTCTTTTTCAAGAATGCTTTGAATATTTTAAGTCCTTTGCAATTCTACGAAAATACAATTGTCTAGTCAATTTCTACAAAAACGCCTGGTTGGATTGAAATCAATTTGGGGAGAAGTGACACACTGGCAATATTGGGTCTTCCAATTCTTCAATATGGTATCTCTCTCCATTTCTGGAGTTTTGTTTTTTTTTTTCTCAAAGGAATTTTGTAGTTTCCAGGATAGGGGTCTTGCATATCTTTTGCTAAATTCTTCCTAAATGTTGTTAAATTTGACATTACTGTAAATGGGATTTAAAATTTTCATTTCCAAGGTGCCTGGGTGGCTCAGTTGGTTAAGCGTCTGACTCTTGATTTTAGCTCAGGTCATGATCTCAGGGTCATGGGATCAAGCCCCATATCAGCTCCTTGCTCAGCTCAGAGTCTGCTTAGGATTCTTTCCCTCTTTCTCTGCCCCTCTCCCACTGCTTGTGCATGCACTCTCTCCCTTAAAAAAAAATTTATTTTCATTTCCAATTGTTTGCTGCTAGTATATAAAGTTAAAATTGATTTTTGAATTGTAAATTCGTATATTGCAACCTTGCTAAATTCTCATCTTTTTTTTGTAGATTCCTTAGGATTGTCTATGTCAACAGTCTATGATTTAGATTAATTGATACACCTGTGTAATCCACACTCCATCAAGATATAGAACATCTACCTACCCCCCAAATATCCCTTGTGTCCCTTCCTAGTTAATCCCACCAAAGGCAGTAATTGTTCTGAGTTTTTTCTATCATAAAGTAGTTCTGCCTCCTCTAAAGCTTTCCATAAATGGAATCATTCAGTATGTACTCCAGTTTTGTTCACTCAGCATAATGTCTATGAAATTCACCCATACTGTTACATGTATAAATAGTACATTTTGATCACTGAGTAATATCACACTGTATGATTATATCAAAAATTTAAAATCCATTTTCTTATCGATAGGTCTTTTGTTCCAGATTTTAGCTATTAGGAAGAGAGCTGCCACAAGTATTCCTGTCCAACTATCCGTGTTGGCATACATTTTCATTTCTCTTGGGTATATACCTAGGAGGGATTGCTGGCTCAAAGGAAGGGATAACTTTATAAGAAGCTACCAAACCTTTCCAACGTGACTGTATAATTTTACATTACATCCGCAATTTATGAGAGTTCTCATTGCTTTTCACCCTCCTCTCAACATTTCTATCATCCTTTCTAATTTATTTTAACCATTCTAATGGTGTCTTGTGGGTTTTGTTCCTAAGTGGGTATTTGTTTATTTTGCAAACAATCTCAAACTTACAGAAAAGTTACAGGTACAGTGCAAAGTACTATTCCTCCTAAACCAGTTGAGAGAAGTTGCTAATATCATGTTCCTCACTTTCAAATACTTCAGTGTATATTTCCTAAAGACAAGGATAGTCTCCTGCATAATCACAACACCATCATCAAAGTGAGGAAATTAACATTAATACAGTACTATTTAATTCTTCTACCACATTTAAGTTTCACCAATTGTTCCAGTAACAATCTTAATAGCAAAAGGAGCCGGTCCAGGATAATACACTGCATTTACTTGTCACGTTTCTTTTGTTTCTTTCTATCTGGAATAGCTCCTTGGTCTTTTCTTGATTTTCATGACCTTGACAATTTTCTGAAGATTACAGAACAGTTATTTTGTATAATGTCCTTCAATTTGGGTTTCTCTGCTGTTTCCTCACTATTAGATTCAGCTTATGAATCTTCAACAGGAGTTATCGCGCAAGTGATGTTTTGTGTGTTCTTCTCGTTATGTTCTAGCAGGTGGTTCTGATTTCAGTTTGTCCCATTACTAGGGATGTTGCCTTGGCTCATTTGATTAAGATGGTGTCTGCCAGGCTTCTCCCACTATCAAGTTACTTTTTCCCTTTGTAATCAATATGTGCTTCACGAGGAGGTAATTTAAGACTATATAGATATCTATTCCCTCACCTAACTTTCAATTTATTCACATATTTACTCAGAGCAAATGTGGACTCATGGATTCTTGTTTTATTCAACAGCTTACAATTTGTTACTATTATTTATTTTGAAGTCACAGTGTTCCAGATTTCACCAGTGGGAAGACCAGTCAAGCTGGATTCTATGGCCTTTGACAAATCACCATCATTCCTCAGGGACTTCCTTACTTTTGGGCACAAAATGTTCCAGGCTCATTTTGTACATTCCCTACTCCAGTCCTCAAATCAGTCATTTCTTAACAAAAAGCCTTGGTTCTTTTACATTGAGAAGCATTTTCAGAAATCAAGACTGGGCCTCTAAATATGCTCATAGTTGATGTTTTCAAACCTTGTCAGTGGTCACAGCTAGAAATAATATAGTTGTGTGTATCTATGGGTATCTATGGATACCCACATATACATACATATTTATGGACATAAACACAGGTATATATGCATATATATACACATATTATATCTATATTTATATATTTACTTACATAAGTAAATTCCAACACGACTAGTTCATTCTACTTTCTACATTTATAACTCCCTTCTCTGACAATAAGAAGCCTAGCTCCCATGATCATTAATATACATAAGTAATACACTCAATTTGTTTTCTGGTTGTCCACTTCATTCTTTTTTCCTCTCTTCCTTCCTTCTTTCGGGTTACTTGAATACTTCATAGTATTCCATTTTAATTTCTGTTAGCTTTTTAGCTATATATCTTGCATTATTTTTAGTAGTTACTTCAAGGATTTCAATTTACATCTTTATATTACCACAATCTACTTAGAGTTTATATTGTACTACTTCACATAAAATATAGCAACCTTTGAATATCATAGTTTTATTTACCACTCTCTCAACTTGGTGAGATTTTTGTCATATCTATTATATGTACTTATGTTATAAACCCCACAATACTGTGTTATAAGCTGCATTATGCAATCATATGCTTTTTCAAGAAATTAAGAAAATGTGTACATGTGGCGCCTGGCTGGCTCAGTTGGTGGCGCATGTAACTCTTGATCTCAGGGTTATGATTTCAAGCCGCACTTTGGGTATAGAGATTACTTAAAGATAAAATCTTAAAAAAAAAGAAAAGAAAATGTGTACATTCTCTCCTGTTTACCCAAATACTTACCATTTCCTGTGCTCTTTATTCCTTCCATTGAATCCAAGTTATCATCTGGTGTCATTCATCTCCCACTTGAAGAATTCCCCTAAGTATTTCTTACAGCACAACACACCAATTCTTAGCTTTAGTCCATCTGAAAACATCTTTATTTTTCTTCATTTTTGAAAGATAATTTTGTAGCATATAGAAGCTGGGTTGACAGCTTTACTTATTTCAGTACTTAAAGGTGTTATTCAATCGTTGTCATGGGTTGGGTTTCCTAGGAGGTAGACTCTGAGGTGGAATTTAGCCAGCAGAATGTTTATTAAGGAGTCTCCTTGGTATCAAAACCTGTGGAAAGAAGGAAGCAAGAGTAGTCAGAAGGAAAAACTGAGCTCTGATGCATGTCCTATAGTAGCCTCAGCCAACGCCCGGGGGAGATCTGGAGCAAGAATTGCCCTTCAGATTCGTCTTGCATTGGGCCAAGAAGGTCAGGTCCTGCACTGATCAACCCCTGGCTGTAGGTATCCCAGGAAGAGGCTTGATCTTAAGTGAGTCAGTGCTCTACAGCTGAGGCAATCCCCCCGAAAGGGGCTAAAAACAGAAGGTTGTCTGCTGACGGCACTCCTCCTAGCTGGGCCAATGGGTTTTTCCACTAATGTGAGCTGGGTGTGTATCACAGACTTCTGGTCTCCCCTGTTTCTCAGGAGAAGTCTGCCTTATTTGTATTATTATTTCTCTCTAAGTAAAATATAGGCCTTATTTTTCTCCTGGCTCCTTTTTCTTTGTCTTTAGATGCCAACAGTTGGTCATGTGCCTAGTGCTGTTTTCTTTGTATTTATTCTGCTTGTGCTTCACTGACCTTGGATCCATTAGTGTTTTTACCAAATGGCTAAGTTTTCAGCCATTACTTCTTCAAATATTTTTTCTTCCCTACTCTCTTGGCTCCTTCTAGTATTCTAATCACATGTATTAGACTGCTTGAATTTCAGAAACCATAGCTTTCTGAAAATCTATTCATATTTCTTCTATCTTTTCTCCCTTTTCTTGAATCTGAACAATTCCCATTTATCTGCTTTCAAATTCACCGATTCTTGCGCATTCTCCAATCTGCCATTAAGCATATCTAGTAAGTTTTTCATTTTTAGTTGCTGTATTTTTCACCTAGAATTTTCATTTGAGTCTGCTATAGACTGAATGTGTCCCTCCCTGCCATTCACATGTTGAAATCCTAACCCCCAGTGTGATGGCATTAGGGCGTGGGGCCCCTGCGAGGTAATGAGGTCATGAGATGGAGTCTTCGTGAATGGTATTAGTGCCCTCCTACAAGAAGCCCCAGGGAGCTCCCTTACTCTTTCTGTCATGCAAGGACACAGTGAGAAGGTGACCATCTATGAACCAGGAAGCAGTACGTCACCAGAGACCAGATCTATTGGTGCCTTGATCCTGGACTGCCTGGCTTCCAGAACTGTGAGAAATAAATGTTTGTTATTTAAGCCACCCAGGCTATGGGGTTTTTGTTAGAGCAGCGCAAACACACGAAAATGGACTTTTAATTCTATTTTGTGGCTGTTTCTCCATCTGTTCATTCACCAAGACTACATTTTCCTGTAAGTCCTTATGCATATTTGTAATAGCTGCTTTAAAGTCTCTGTCTACTATGTACCACGTAAGGTTTGGTTTTCCTTGATTGTTTTCTCCTCCTTGCATACGGGTCATATTTTCCCGTTTCTTTACACATTTGGTCATTTTTATTGTATACTAGACATTAGGAATTATACATTGTAGAAATTCTGGATTCTATTATATTGCTCGCAAGAGTGCAATTTTTGTTCTACTAGGGAATTAAATTGGCTGGACTCAAAGTCCTAAGTCTGTCTCCTCTGTTTTTGGGTGACACCCTGAAATATCTGCTCAATTCTTTCAGTTTCTAGTGGTCACTTTTTCTCTGTACTCTATGTGGTCTCTCCTACTGATGCATATTTCAGTGGCTGGACAAGAATTTGACCAGTTTATATGAAGATTTGGGGTTCACCACCTCTATGACCCCCTCCCTCCTAGGATACGCCCTCCCAGCTCCCCAGTTGCTCTTCCAGTCCTGAACTTTATACTCTGACACCAGTATTCAGGAGGCTTCATTCTGAGCCACGTAATGGATTGGTGAACAACTGTGAGCAAAAACTCCAAATCAAAAATCACAATGGTGTAATTCCAATCTTTTAAAGGTAGACTCCTCTCCAATACCTGCCTGCATCTAGTCTCTGTCAAATATCTTCAAATAGTTGGTTTTTAATATTCCCATCCAGACTCTATCATTGTTACCTGTGGGAAGATTAGCCTGACCGAGCTACACTACCATTACTTGAAGTCAAATTTCCCCATATTACTATTGTTCTCCATACTGGAATCATACCTAAATCCTGATTTGTCTATGTCAGTGTTGTGATTCATTTCCCTTGCATCGGTGCTATGTTTAGGAAGGGTCATAGATCAGTCTGGAAACCCAAAGCTACTCTTTGCAGTCTAGCTATAAAGGGCTTTAACACAGGGAATTGGTGGCTTAACCCAAAAAAAGCCTTAAGGGAGCAATGGTTAGAGAAACCGCTACTGACCTCAGCTTGGAGTGCTCAAGCAGGTGGTTTTCAAAACTCGCCTTGAAGTTTCCACAATTCTGGCTGCAACTGACTGGAGAGTAATGAACTCTCCATTACTTTGGCTCAAGGATGCCTGTCATCAATACACTCCAGCCTGGGACCATACAACAAAGGGGAATCTAGCAAATGTAGCTCCTGGCTTCTCTTCAAAGCAAAGGAGACTTTAGAAGGGGTGGTGGTGATGCCAAGTTGATCACAGATAATTCAAACAGGGCATGTGACCCAAATTAGCAAAAGACACAGGAGGGAAAGGGAGCTGCAGAGCTTCTGGAAAAAAACTATTTGCTGATAAACTAAAAACGAAACAAAACAAAACAAAACAAACCCAAAGACTCACAAGAACAATGGTCGTTCTTCTTACAATGGAGTTTTTTTCATGTGATTCTTGGAACAGAGGCATTGATCTTATGATCGTGATGAGGAGCCAGCTGAGATGGAAGCAAATATGGTGTCTGAAGCCTGTCCAGTCTGGACTTCCTGTTGTGAGAATAAGTGTTACTATTTAAGATATTTTCAAATTGGCTTATTTTGTTACTTGCAGCAGATGAGGCCCCTTATTTAGATCATAGAGGTAAATCCCAGAAGAAACATTTAAAGGGGTGAAAGTGGTAGTCTTTAAGGAGTAAGACTGGGGTAATGGGATGTGGTACAGTGCACATTGGCTTTTATTCTATGTCTTGTGCTATTTAACATTGTAAAGAAGATACAGGCACTACTTGGATAAAAAAAATTAATTAGAAAAAAGACAATCTGACAACTCCTCTCCCTCTCCACATCACAGTTTTCATGATTAACTCTGATCTTAGCACAAAAGGAAATGGCAGCTAAACACAACAATTCTTCCCTGCTTTTATTTCAGGTGATCATCACTTCTAGTTGCCTATTGAAGAACCCCATCCTCATCCCCCTCAATCTACTGTCTGTCACCAAAATTATCATTCCAAAGGGCAAGTATGATCACATCTCTCTCCTGCTTAAAACCCTTAATTGGCTTCATTTTGTCTCTATAGGATAAAATGCAAATTCCTTAATATGGCATCCAAGACTCTTCATGATCTGGGCCTTCATGTTCTCTAATGTATATACTCTAGCTATTTTGAAAATCTTGGTTTTCTCCACACTCAGACGTCCATTCTTTTGGAGTTTCTTCGTTTGGAACATCCTTCCTAAATAATCCACTTTCAGCTACCTGTCTGTGAAGATTTCTTACTCCTGCAGTTCTCCTGTAGTCTCTTCTTCTAGATGCATTGTAGATACCTATAGCCTCCATCAGCACAACTTATTATTACAGCTCAAAAACCACCTACTAGAAAGTCTGAAATCCAGAAAATCTCTTAAAACTGAAATATTTTCGGTAACTCATTTGGTGACAAAACCTGAATGGAACTACTTATATTTATAATCTCAATTGATTCCAATTTGTATTAATATTCATGAACTTTGCTGCAGAAATATTAGTGGGTTTCACTGCAGACTGAAGCCTCAGACCCCACTGGCAATGGTAAGTAACACATACTATACGCACCTCTAGTATGTGCACCATTCCGAAAATGGCTACTGCAACATGTCTCATCCCACAAGTTCTTCTAGAACTTCTACCACTTATCAAGAGGAGAGGTCTATTTCCCTCTCCCCTCTTGAAAATGGGAGTGATTTTATGAATAAAAGTAGTGGAGGTGATACTGCTTGACTTCCAAGGCTAGGTCATAAAAGGTGATATGGCTTCCGCCTATTTTCCTTTCCTCTCTCAAAATGCTTGCCCTTGGAACTCAGCCACCATGTTGTGAGGAAGCTCAGCCATGTAGTGAGGCCACCTGTAGCTGTTCTAGGCCACAACCCCAGTCAAGATCTCAATCATTCATCAATGTATTCATTGTATTCATCATCAGTATTCATCAATGACCAACCAGTATCAACTACCAGACATGAGAATGAGTTAACTGCAGATGATGCCTGGCCTTGGCACTCAAGTGCCCCCACTTGTTGGCTGAGTGAAGCAAAGACAAGCTGATGCCAAGCCTTGCCCCAAACATAGATTTATGAGAAAGACAAATTTTGTTTTAAGGTACAAAATTTTAGGTAATGTTCTGCAGCCACAGTGATTGGAATATCCTCCCATTATCTTGTAAAAATGTGAAATATTCTGAATTCTAAAACCCATCAAGGGTTTCAGATAAGATCTGCATACTAAAATCATGTTTGTATATCTATTTTTCTATAGAATTAGAAGTTCTTTGAGGACAAGAACTAGTTTTCCTTTTTTTTTTTTTCTTGGTATTCTCAGAGCTACCATTTAAGATTGGGTAGGTCCTCAAGGTCTGTCTATTGAATTAATGTTGAATGTATAGATGAATGAAAAAATAAACACAGTTCCAAACAAATGGTTATTTTGAAATAGTTTTTCAGTAGATTATACTTTTTTTCAACTCAATCCATTCCTCAAAAATAACTTAGACTACCTTATTTTTATAATTATTTTCAGTTTATGAACTATACAAAAAGTTTCATCAATTTTCCTATGTTGTTTTTATCCAGAAGTGTTATCTTTTTTTTAAAGTTCCTTTTTTTTTTTAAGATTTATTTTAGAGAGAGCGCGAGTGAGCATGCACGTGAGCAGGGCCGGGGGAGGAGGAGAGGGAGAGAGAATCTCAAGCAGACTCCCTGCTGAACACAGAACCCGACACAGGGCTCAATCCCACGACCCTGAGATCATGACTGAAACCAAGAGTCAGAGGCTTAACCCACTGAGCAACCCAGGCGCCCCCAGAAGTGTTATCTATTATGATTGTGTACTTTATCCATCAAAGCGTGTTCTAAATTAGCCTTGGCTGTTTCCAAAAGTCAAATGCATCCTTAAGGATGAAGATTTCCCATTACTGAAGATAATTTACTTTGATATCTTTATTATCAATACCAAATTACTTTATCTGACATCGACTCTGAAGGTTATGCCAAAACAGGAGATCCCAATGTTTTTGAACAATGCGGTGTTCAAACGCAATGCAACGTGTGGAAATGATGCACAGATGCAAGGATTGCAGCATCCATGTTGACAACGATGGAAGGAAAATACATTAATTTGGAGTGTAAGTTCTATCTTGCATGACCAAAATATAAGTTTATTTCTCTCCTGCTCATATGTCACATATACATCATGTCACACATGTACTTAGCTACATGAGGAAAGGGGAGGAAGGTAGAGAGAAAATCCATAATGTCATAAAGACATGAGTAGATAGCGTTGATTTATTTTTGAATGTTCCTGTCGGGAATAACAGTTTTAGCCCCTCCCAGGGAATGGTATAATGATGAAATCATGAGGTACGAGTTTTACAGTTTTGCTGCCCAACAACTGTCTGATCAGAATTTACTGGATCCTTACTGCCCTGCTTTGTCCTCCCTCCCCATGTTGTGTAAATGGCAGAAGCCGGGATATATACAGGTGTATTTCAAGACCATTCACATTCAGAGGAAATCTCTGTGAAAGCAAGAGCCATTAGATAAAAATAATATTAACCAGAGTCTCTCAAAAAATGCCAAGAGGGGGACGAATCTTACACCCCATGGCACAACTTCCAATCTTTTCTTTCTCCTCTGGTGTTTCATGGAGTCCAGCAGGAACACTGCCTACAGACCTCCTTCTTTCCTGTCATATTCCCCTAAAATCCCCCTTTCTCACTCTCTCTCCCATGCTCCCTTCCACACACAGAGCACCCTATTCTTTTTCAGCCTACCCCCCTCATCTTCTCCATCTGTTATTTTCTCATCGTGCTGCCTCCTGAGATCAATCGGACTGGCCTTGGCTGTATTAATACCCTTCCTCATGCATTAACCTGGTCCCATGCAATCCTGGGACCAGGGACACAGAGCAAATGAAAAGAAACTCTCTTTTTCAAGGTGAGGAGGGGGAGAGGCTGTGAATCCTGAAATATGAATCTTTTCCCTTGTCATACCGACATCTTACAGGCAGAATTCCATTTCACTAAACAGAAATAGTATGATGAGTAACCTCAGCCAGATACACTGTGAGGACAGCATAAAGTACAGCATGACCCACCTATGGACTCTAGATGGAACAGTTCAAGGACCACATCTTCACCGGCATATATTGCTGCAGACCTGCTGCGGTCTGGATAAATTGATATTGATTTAAATGGATGTGTAAACAGTGTCATGAGGAACTATCTCATCCCTGGGGCTACCTTATTGCTGGGGTCCCTCTCCTTTCACCGAATACCTCAGGTATCACTTTTCTAGGCTTCCAAGGAAGTTTAAAGCCCCAGAAATTACCAAAGACCTGATAATAAAAGCCAAGTATCCACTCTTATTTCCTCTTCCTCCACCTTTGGTCTCTGAACCCCAGAAATTCTGGGAATTAAAGGGTGGAGATGCTGCAAAGCAGAAATTCCCATTTATGATTGCAAAATAAAACACAGTATACGGAATTTCATATAGAGAATGAGTAATTTCTTAGTATGAGTAAGTCCCAAATATTGCATGGGGTATACTTATACTTTAAAGAAAAGCATTCATTCTTTTTTTTTTTTTAAGATTTTATTTATTTATTTGACAGAGAGAGACACAGCGAGAGAGGGAACACAAGCAGGGGGAGTGGGAGAGGGAGAAGCAGGTCTCCTGCAGAACAGGGAGCCGGATGCGAGGTTCAATCCCAGGACCCTGGGATCATGACCTGAGCCGAAGGCAGACGCCTAACGACTGAGCCACCCAGGTGCCCCGAAAAGCATTCATTCTTTATGTGAAGTTCAAATTTAACTGACCATTCCTGTTTGAATTATCCTGGAGATCTGGTAACCCTAATTTAGGACAATCAATGAGAAGAATATCAACCAGGAATGAATACGTTAGGCTTAAAAATGGGAATTCTTAGGTAGATACTGTCTCTTGAGTTGCCCATTAAAAATATACCTAGAAGGGTGCCTGGGTGGCTCAGTCGGTTAAGCAGCTGCCTTTGGCTCAGGTCATGATGCCAGGGTCTTGGGATGGAGTCCCACGTCAGTCTCCCTGCTCAGCAGGGAGTCTGTTTCTCCCTCTGCCCCTCCCCCTGCTCGTGCATACTCTCTCCCCCCCACACACCCAAAAATAAAGAAAGAAAGAAATACATACATACATAAATATATAAATAATCTTTTTTAAAAAGTACCTAAAACATCATAATATGAAAAAAAAAAAGCTCTCTCTGAAAACAACAGGATCAGATATAGTCTGGAGTAGTAAGATGCTTAAGTAGCTGGAAATGTTTTATTGGTGTACTAGAGAACACAGCAGGGGATCAAGGAGAGGCACTCAGGGTGTGAGTGAAAGAGGATGAGGTTTAAGTGAAGGCCCGGACAACAGGTAAGAGACTGTCCTGCGAGGTCTCCTCTAACAAAGTCCAAAACTTAGGCTATTTTGCTGAAATACGACTTAAGAGCTGTGATGGTTATTTTTATGCATCAAACTGACTGGGACATAGGCGCTCAAATTAAATGTCATTTCTGGGTGTGCCTGTGAAGGCGTTTCCAAATGAAATGAGCACTTGACTTGGTGGCCCCGGTAAAGTAGATCGCCCTCCCCAAGTGGGTGGGCATTATCCAAACCGTTGAGGGTCTGAAGAAAATGATAAGGCAGAGGAAGGAGGAATTTGCCCCTTTGGCTTCCTCCCCGCCTGCTTGAGCTGGGACATCAGTCCTCTCCAGCCCTTGGACTGAGAGTTACAGCCTCAGCCCCTCTGGTTCTTTGGCCTTCAGACTTGGACTGAGCTACACCACTGTCCTTCCTGGGTCTCCAGCTTCCAGAATCAGACTGTGAGACTCCTTAGCCCCTGAGTCAATTCCTCAAAGGAATCTCTCTATCTGTGTCTATATCTATATCCCCTATTGATTCTGTTTCTCTGGAGAGCCCTGATTAACATAAGAGTAAAAACAAGGCCATTAAACATCACAGAGTTCCGGAAATAAACTTAGACCCACCCAACCTAGTGACCTCTTCCTGCACATCCCCTCTCCCCAGCCCCTAATCTGAATTCCATTTCCCATTGTGCCTTCAGTGTTTTAGAAGTGATGGCCCATGTAAAGACAGCAGCTCTTTCTCATTTTAGCAGCTTTCCAAACTGTACACTCACTGAAGTCAGGCGCAGTTTCCCAGAGGCCTGTATTTCCCACATGGCCTAAAACCTAGCAGCAAGAGCTCTGCACATAAGTAGGAGTTTCAGTGAATTAATGAATGCAATCTCCAAATGGCTAACATTTAAAAACACTAACTAGTATTGTATTATTAATCTCAAAAACAAAACAAAACCAGATCACCTAGAGAGCATCCTGCCTTTACGGTTCTCCCCCAGACGCCTTGAGAAGGAGACAGAGCACAAGGTCAGGGGGAGTGAAGGGCAGACCGCATTCTCCCGAGCTGTGGGTTTGGCATCCTTTACCAGCATTAAATTAGCCATAAGAAAAATGAATGACAGTCCTGTCAGCATGCTATACACTTTGGGGAAAAGAACAAATGAAATCATATTGACAAAATACGTCTCCTTTTTCTCTAGAATTGTTCATTTGATCTTTATCCCAAAGCTTCTTTGACATGATTAACCAAAGACTGAAAACTGAAGAGACCCACAAAAGCTTATTAGATTATCTAGTCCATTTTTTAGGCCACATGTACAATTACGTGTTCCCTATAGAAATATTTTCTAGAACTTTGTCTGCCCCTTTCCCAGTAGACTTCTCTGAATGTCTTAAAGTCTTTTCTGGGGAGCGTGTTCCAGTTAGGCTCATCTTAGACACCTGACAGTTTTTCTGAAGCTTCTATTTCAATTTGTCTTATTTAAATTTTGCCCCATTACTCCTACTTAGACCCTTTTCCCGTCACCATATTGTAGATAGTTTTCATATTCTTTTTTAGGCATAATTTAACCATGCTTCACACATTAACTTGAGTAGACAGTATATGGTATAAATTACACAAAACAGCGATGTGTGAAGACATTCTGTGGTGAATAAATTAAAGCATTAATTTCAGACATATCAAACTAACACTTTTTAAATTTGTGGTTCCTATAATTTTCAGACCTGTTTCTAAAGTCTCTGCAGGGGGGAATTAAATGGAAGAGATTAGCCTAAAGCTTCTCCTTTCATTTCATAGGTTGGAGATCAGCCATTCCCATGAATATTTAAGAGAGAAAGAATTTTTTTTTTTTTTTTTAAGAATTTAACACAAAGGTCCTAGTCAGATTTAAGGAGATGTAGCCATTCAGACATACAGGTGAAAAAGATTAGGTTTAGCAAACTCCCTAGACATCGTCACCAACAATCTGGCAGTTAAGAGAGAATTAAGGGAGCGGACATTATTGCCCACAGAGTATATGTGAAACTGGGTACACTGAATCTGAATTGAATGAAGAAGTGCACATGTTTATAGTATGAAGACTAAAAAAAAAAAAGAGAACCAAACTCCAATTTAACCAGAATTCCTCTGTGTGAAAAGGAAAACTTTCCCAGCACAGGCTCTGCTGGGATCCTGGGGTTTCTGGTTTCCACAACTGATACAGAATTGCTGAATGGACAAGGATCTGGCAGCAAAACATACGCACACAGTTCCTTTTAAGTAGTGAGACTTGAGAAGAATCAAGTTTATCCTCACTCCCAGTTTTAATTTTCACCTAAGTATTTACCACGTTTACGTTATTTTTTAGTTTGTTTATTGTCTGTCTCCTCTGGCCCTTACCTAGAATCTAAGCTCCATGAGGACAGAAATTTTATGTTTTTGTCTTGTTCACTTCTGTATTCCTGGTACCTAGAACACTGCCTGACCCACAGCAGGCAGTTAAGGATTGGTTAAAGGAAGTCACTTATTTGCCACTGATTTCTCCGTTTACAGAGTCAGACAGAAAAATAGCATGCATATGTCTTGGCTAAAAAGAACTAGATCAAAAAAAAAAAAATTCTTCTTCTATGGGAAGAAGTTTTTTAAATTCTTGAGGGTGGGCTTTGAGGTAGTATTATTCCTTAAAATATAAACTAGGAAGTGTCTCAGATCTGACCATGTCATCCAAGGTGCTAAAGATGAGGCTCCATGAGGGCAGACGCAGTGCCGCATTGTTCTCTCTGTATCAGCTTCTGACACAGACCTGGAATGAGGAATAAATAAGATCGGTTGGAATAGTTGATATAGACTATGCTAGCCACTGGTCTAAGCACTCACATGCATTAATTCATTTACTTTTTTACAATAGTTTTACCTGGGGACACAATTATTATCCGCAGCTTCTCAGACAAAGAACATAAAGCGTAAGAGAATAAATAACTGCCGGTTATCAATGTACTGTTTCTCAGCTCCAAACCCATCCTCCTTTGCCCTGTTTTGTGAGCTGGGACTGGCCAAATATTGTGTCAACAGAGGGCACCAGAGGGACACTGCAAGGCTGCAGCCCCAGGAAGACCCTCCCCTGCAGGCCCCAGCCCTCCATGTTTGTTCTTCGGCAGGAGAAACCAGAAGGCCACTTGGAGGAGTCCCAGCTGTACCTTGGGCCACACTGTCCTCCCTGGCTGCTTCTGCAACACAGCTCTGGCCCTACCTTCTGGAAAGTCTTTTCCCACCAGCAGGCTGCATGTTCCTGAGGTACCCACAGCTTCTCTGAAGAGGACTGACTCCCAGCCTGGCCCTTAGTTCCTTTATTGTCTCCTCTCCTCAGCCAAGAGGTAGTGGTTGGCACGTAACTTTTACTCCTGTAAGTAGCTAGCCCCTTCTACTAGTTAACAATTCTTTATATTAAATTGTCTCTGGATAGAGTGCTGGAAGGGTACTCTATTATTTCAGACCCCAAGTTGTCCAAGACTGTACCACTAGGAAGCAATCAAGCTGGGCTTCAAACCCAAAAAGTCTGATTCCAGAGGGACACTCCAAACTATGAAGCTACACTGTCTCCAATGTTTGCGATAGAATCCAAGTTAACTCCCCCCACAGCCTGGACCCTCTGAGGCTGCAAAAATGAGAATTGCAATCCAGGAGTAAAGTACTGAATTGCATCTCCTCAAATATAACATGGATTAATACTACACAACCCTAATCTTAATATTTCAAATCCCTTTTTTTTTTTAAAAGATTGTATTTATTTATTTGTCAGAGAGAGAGAAAGCACAGCAGGGGGAGCGGCAGGCAGAGGGAGAAGCAGGCTCCCCACTGAGCAAGAAGCCTGATGCGAGACTTGATCCCAGAGTCCTGAGATCATGATCATGATCTGAGCTGAAGGCAGACACTTAACTGACTGAGCCACCCAGGCGTCCCTCAAATCCCTTTTATATGCAGAATTTCACCACCAAACAACTATAGGGTTGAGAAGGCATATATTACTATTCCTATAAAGAAACTGAAGCCCACAGATATTAAAATTTTGCACAAGTAGTTACACTCAAGTCTTCCAAGACCCAGCCAGAACTTTGTCTATAATATCACCATCTTGCCTTAAGTTTTAGTTACTCTGGAGTGAATTGGACTATGAGACTGAATAATGGATCTCCAAAAGATCCATGTCATAATCCTTGAAGCCTGTGCATATAACCTTTTATGGAAAAGGGAACTTTGCAGATGTGATTAAATTAAGGGGAGAGAGGGAATGATCCTAGATAATCAGGGTGGCCCCTAAATGCCATCATAAGAGTCCTCATAAGAGAGGGGCAGAGAGAGACTTCACACACGCAGAGGAAAAGATGTTGTGAAGACAGAGGCAAAGATGGGAATGATGTGGCCACAGGCCAAGGAATGCCCGTAGCCTCCAGAAGCTGGATGAGAAAATGCACAGAAAGAGACAAGGAACAGATTCTCCTCTAGAGCCTCTGTAGGGAACACAGCCCTGCTGACACCTTGACAATAGCCCAGCAATACTGATTTCCAACTTCTGGCCTCCAGAACTGTGAGAGACCAAATTTCTATCATTTTAAATCACAAAGTTTGTGGTAATGTCTTATAACAGCCTCAGGAAACTAAAATACTGACAAATTCAAGTTTAAAAGAAAAGTTTATACAGATAGAAAATAATTTCTAAACATGACATAAATAGTTTTATAAAATTAGAGTCATTAAAATGAAGATGCTGAGCACCTGGGTGGCTCAGTCGGTTAAGCCTCCAACTCTTGATTTTTGACTCAGGTCAGGATCTCAAGGTCGTGAGATCAAGCCCTGCGCCAGGCTCACGCTGAGCATGGAGCCTGCTTGAGATTCTCTCTTCCTCTTCCTTTGCCCCACCCCCCCAAGTGCTCACGTGCACACTTGCTCTCACTATCGCTCTCTCTCTCAAAAAATAAAATGAAGGATGTTAAGAACATGCAGAATGGGGGTGCCTGGGTGGCTAAGGTGGTTAAGCATCTGCCTTCAGCTCAGGTCATGATCCCAGGGTCCTAGGACCAAGCCCTGCATCGGGCTCCCTGCTCAGTGCGGAGTCTGCTTCTCCCTCTCCCTCCACCTCTCCACCCCCACGCTGGTGCTCCCTCTTGCTCTCTCTCTCTCAAATAAATAAATAAAATCTTAAAAAAAAGGGGGGGGGAACATTGAGAATGAAAACACAAGCTAAATAGAAAATAAAATCTTCCAAAATTGAATCAGGGAGAAATAGAAAATCTGAATAGCCGAATTACTAGTAACAAAATTGAATTGGTAATCAAAAAACTCCCAACAAACAAAAGTCCAGGATGAGATGTTTTCACAGGTAAATTCAACCAAACATTTACAGAAGAGTTAATATCTATTCTCTTCAAACTATTCCAAAAAATGGAGAGGACGGAAAGCTTCCAAATATATTCTACAAGGCCAGCATTACGCTGGTACCAAAACCCAGACAAAGATACTACAAAAAAGCAAAAAGAAAGAAAACTATAGGCCAATATCCCTGATGAACACAGATGCAAAAATCCTCAACAAAATATTAGCAAACCACATTCAACAATACAATAAAAGGATCATTTACCATGTTCGAGTGGAATTTATTCTGGGGATGCAAGGATGGTTCAATATCTGCAAGTCAATCAATGTGACATACCACATTAAGAAAATGAAGGATAAAAATAATACGATCATCATAATAGATGTGGAAAAAACATTTGACAAAATTCACCATCCATTTATGCTAACTCTCAAAAAAGTGGGTTTCAAGGGAACATACCTCAACATAATAAAGGCCTTATGTGAAAAACCCATAGCTAATATCATACTCAACATTAAAAGCTGAAAGTTTTTTGTTTAAGATCAAGAACAAGACAAGAATGTCCATTCCCTTCACTTTTATTGAACATAGTACTGTCTATTCAACATAGTCCTAACGACAGCAATTAGATAGGGAAAAGAAATAAAAAGGCATCTGAATTGGTAAGGAAGAAGTTAAACTGTCACTATTTGCAGATGACATGATACTGTACATATAAAACCCTGAAGACCCCACCAAAAAACTATCAGAAATAGTTACAGAACTTACAGAATTCATTAAAAATTCCAAAAAGTTGCAGGATACAAAACCAATATACAAAAATATGTTGTGTTTCTATACATTAATAACAAAGTAGCAGAAAAGAAATTAAGAAAATAATTCCATTTACAATTACATCAAAATGAATAAAACACCTAGGAATAAACTTAACCAAGGAGGGATAACCAAGACTTGTACTCTGAAAACTACAAAACACTGATGAAAGAAACTAAAGTCAACACAAATAAATGGAAAGCTATTCCATGTTCATGGATTGGAAGAATTAATATTGTTAAAATGTCCATATTACCAAAAGCAATCTACAGATTCAGTGTAATCCCTATCAAAATACCAATAGCAGTTTCACAGAACTAGAAGAGATAATACTAAGATTTATATGGAACCACAAAAGATTCCAAATAGCCAAAGCAATCTTAAGAAGGACAAAGCTGGAGGTATCACAATCCCAGACTTCAAGATATACTACAGAGCTATAGTAATCAAAACAGTATGGTACTGCCCTAAAAATAAACATATAGATCAATAGAACAGAATAGAAAGCCCAGAAATAAACCCACACTTACATGGTCAATTAATCTATGACAAAGGAGGCATAAATATATAATATGGCAAAGACAGTCTCTTCAACAAATGGTGTTGGGAAAACTGGACAGCTACATACAAAAGAATGAAACTGGACCACTTTCCCACACCATCCACAAAATAAACTCAAAATGGATTAAAGACCTAAATGTAAGACCTGAGACCATAAACTGAGAAGAAAACATAAGCAGTAATCTTTCTGCCATTGGCCTTAGCAAATTTTTCTAGATATATCTCCTCAGGCAAGGAAAACAAAAGCAAAAATAAACTATTGATACCATACCAAGATAAAAATCTTTTGCACAGCAAAGGAAACCATCTACAAAATGAAAAAGCAACCTACTGAATGGGAGAAAATATTTGCAAATGATACATCCAATAAGGGATTAATATCCAGAATACATAAAGTATACAACTCAACACCAAAAAAACAAATTATCCAATTTAAAAATGGGCAGAGGAACTGAATAGACATTCATGCAAAGAAGACATCCAGATGGCCAACAGACACATGAAAAGATGTTCAGGGAAATGCAAATCAAAACCACAATGAGATACCACCTCACACCTGTCAGAATGGCTGAAATCAAAAACATGAGAAACAACAAGTGTTGGTGAGGATGTGGAAAAAAAGGAACCCCCGTGCACTGTAGGTGTCAATGCAAATTGGTGCAGTATGGAAAACAGTATGGAGATGCCTCAAAAAATGGAAAATAGAATTACCATATGATGCAGTAATTCCACTACTGGTTACTCATCGAAGAAAATTAAAATATTAATTTGAAAAGACATATGCACTCCGATGTTTATTGCAGCATTATTTACAATAGCCAAGATATGGAAGCAACCCAAGTGTCCATCCATAGATGAAAGGATAAAGAAGATGTGGTATAGATATACCATGGAATATTACTCAGCCATAAAAAAGAGGTATCTTGCCATGTACAACATGCATGGACCTAGAGGGTATAATGCCGCGTGAAATGAGTCAGAGAAAGACAAATAGCATATAATTTCACTCACAGGTGGAATTTAAAAAACAAACCAAACAAACAGAAAAAAAAAAGAGA